ATGATGATTATAATAACAGTAATAAAGTCAAAGAGTTTATTAAAATTATTATTTAAATTATTATTGTGAAACTTGAAGTGTCCTTCTTCTGGGACGGAACAGCAGCAGATAAGGATGATATATTCAGCAGACAAGGGTGATATTCAGCCGCCATCATGACTCCTGGATTAATCTGTGGAACCAAAAGTTAGTCTGACCCAGCTTGACCTAGCTGGGAAAATGTGACCTTTGTCACAAATTAGAGGACCTTCGTGACGCTACAAGGGTTTTACGGTATGGAGCACTTACTACACGTATTATGGTAATATGTCTCCAGTTTTATAGGAAGTGTGGTTGTTTGTAGTCTTGCTGACAGCTTGCTGTAATAGGGAGTAAAGCATGATGATTCACTCATTATTCACTTCACACAAACAATATTCACACTGTTATATTGAGTTGTTGGTAATTGAAAACATTGATTGAAATATTTTTAGAACCAAATATTTGCTTCTAATTCACCATTAGCATTGCTAGCTCAACGTTAGCCTTCAGCCTAATAACACCCAATGTTAGAGTAAAACAAAACTATGCTGTGGTTTCTTAGGTGTACGAGAAATAACTTCTGGGTCGCTCCTGCTTACTTGCTTCAGTTCTTTAAACAACTCTGGAGCTTTTTGCCTGTCGGTGTCTGATTACAAATGCCGAATCTAAAGCGTTAGCTCGATACAATCTCTGCAACCTCACAAATTCACAAACTCAGATTGTAATTACGTCCCTCTAGTTTTTTTCAAAGGAGAAAAACAGACCCCCCCAGCTGGCTGAGAATGAGATCTGTTTTAATGTAACCTTCCCTCAAACACGACTGACACATTGGACTGTTTTGTGATTATTTCACTGTAGAATTCTTCCATATTGCTCTTGTAAAATAAGGTAAATATTTGTAAATATGATCCCAATTGTATTGTTCTGAGGAAAATTGCCAGTAGGGTAAGCGAAAATTGCTTGGGTAGAATTCATAAAACTAGCTAATAAATTTCATTAGTTTATTTTGCTAATTTTAAGACTTCCAGCCAAGCAGCTTTGGCGTACCCTAATGGCAGATTATTTTTGCTCAACACAAGAAAATGTAGATGATATTTAAGAATGTTTACCTTGTTTTAAATTATGCTATTTCTCTAGATAAGAATTTTTGCTTTTACATCAAACACATTTATAAAATGTCTAAAATGTTTTTTTTTACTTTAATAGAAATCCGTTTGATACAAGTTAAGTATTAAGCAATAACACCCTGTAATGATATTGTACCACAGAATAAACCAATGTCAACCCAATGCTAAACAACTGAAAAAGTCAGGTGTAAAGTCAATCAATATTATTCTTATCTCTAGGCTTTTTGTTTTTTAACAACTCCAGCCTCATATATCACAGCAGTTCATCTAAACCTTATTTTATGAACCTTTACATCACCATCAGTGTCACATTATTCAGAGTTCTATTGTTTTTAGCAAAAACACCAGCGGTTTCCATCACTGCAGCCTGCGGCACTTTCAACAGGAATATCGTAACGTACCTGAGATGAACTGTGCATTGTTAAACAAATGATGGTGTATGGATTTATGATATAATATCCACACGAAGAACTGTGGTATTTTAGGGCTTGGATGTGCTTTTTTTAAGCTGTTACATTACTTTTATCTCATCAGCCCACTAGAAAAAAAGAACAACTTTATATAGAGAATGGGTTCGACCTTGAAAAAGTTCAGATGAGCCGAAGAGAAAAAATTATGAAACCAACATAAAAACTTCTGAGTTTAATTTTCCGTTGTTGTGACTCTATAATTATAATTGTATATTTTATTGATGACAAAAGTCACCCGCCAGTGTGTGAATGTGTGTGTGAATGGGTTAATGACTGACTGTGTTGTGAAGCGCCTTGGGGGGGTTATAGAACCCTAAGAAGGCCATTTACCATTTACAAAGTGTTTCTATAGGATGTCATTTCAACTGAAATATTCATTCTTATCCTGATACTCTAATCTGAGGTATTGCATAACACACCAAAAATACCAATTCAATTATATTGGAGTTGCAAACACACCATCAAGGAGAAACTCCTCCTTCCAGAAGTGAAGCTGATGCAGAAGTGAAAAACACTGCAGTTCCCCCACTCATCCACTAGGGGCTGGCTCCAAAAAGGAGCAAGTTCCTATTGACTCCCATGTTAAAAATACAAACTTTACCGCAAAACTGAACATGTTTAAAGCCTGGTTTAAAAAATAACTTTTAAGGTTAATATATCACGTTTACCAACATGGCAACTCTGAGTGGAGTGAAAGTTTTTTGTAACTCACTTGTTTAGCTGTATTTAAAGCTTGAAATTATGAATATTTAGGGGGCGTGTCCTTTTGAATGACAGGTAGCAGCCGTAGGCACTAGCAGCGTGTCTCCTGCTTGCTCCAAGGAAGGCCTCAGCCTCACACTAGAAGAAAGAGGGTAGCAGAATCACTCAACCACAGTTTTCTAACTAAAAGGTTCGGCCAACCTCTCTTAGCTTTGGTAAGCTCAGTAAGCTTGTAGCTACGTCATCTCAGAGTTTGAGGCGTGTTATCTGCCTCCATCCTCACAGTCCCACTCTCAGCTCCATTTGTGTATTTTCCGGGAGTGATGAAACTCTACAGAAACCTACGGGTGACGATGCCGAGGGTTCCTCCATATTGTATACAGTCATTGGCCACTGCAGAGTGCACCACCGGCCACTAGGGTGTGCTGTGATCAAACCTCGAGGGAAAAAGGTGTCTTCAGGAACGTGTCTGAAATCACGTATATGTGGCTATCCCTGACTGTACATACTGCTGCTTCACATTTTTATTGCTGCTGCTCAGCCATCACACAGCTGTCTATCCATGCTCCTGTTTGACATGTATCTGTAAGTCTTCACATGATTGTTAAGCTAATATAACGGTCACATTGTCAGTATGCATGCTAAGCCGCACTGCATTTGTTTACGTATTTTTTCGCATTGCTTAGCTTTAGCCTTTAGCCCATGCTGCTGCTTCTCGCTGCTGTTAGCTTCTGCTCACTCAGCTTTGTACGTTGCCGCAGGGCTTCTTCATCCTTGTCAATAAAGCCATCAGTCATTGAGGAGTGTATTTCTTCAGTCACAATCAATAGATGTCAGTGGACTCTAAATCAAGCCTTCCAGTTGACACCTTGGATAATATGGAAGTAAATTATCACTTTGTTTTTTTTTTTTTGAAAATTCAGTATTCTTGAAAGTAAAGAAGTTTTTGCAACATTTTTTTGCAGGTATTATTTTTTATTCACAGACAACAGCTTCCTTAAACCGTGAAAGAACTGAGCTGCAAATACCAGCCATTCAGAACATGTTGTTGGTAGGCCCCATTTGGAAGTTAGTTGATATTCATGTTCACTAAAACCTACAAACTGAATTAATAAATAGTTAAACAGTCTTTAAATAGCTTTCAACATGTTTGTAAATATAGTTTAAAACTTTTCAAGCACGTTGCAGCCTGCGTCAGCAGACCCTGTATGATTTCACTTTCAAGTTTCTCGTTCATTTTCTTTCTGCCTGACCATTTCTACTTTCTATGCATTGGCAATAACTGGAAATGACATTGTTTAAAACTTGTTAAGTTTTCCTAATGCTTTTGAGTGAGAGGACCAAGGAAAATGTCAGGCTGTGTTTACTCACTGGACCAGCTGATCCCACCGAGGAGTCGCAAGTCTCTGCCTGGAGTGAAATCTGAAAATCCTGCAAATTTGAGGTGCCGTTCCAGCTATTATTACAGAAAATGTTAGGTCACTTGGAAATTAAAAGGACAACCTTGGAAAACTATTGAGGAACCAAATATCTGTCTGAGGACCTAGTGGCAGAACTCGCATATCCCAGATCACAGGATTTTCTGCATTGTTCAAGCACACAGAGCTATGGAATGGCCTTGCAGATGAGGGGTGGTATGATCCTAGACATACCCATTGAAAGGAACACTTCTGTTGCTCAAACTGAACTACAAGAAGTTAAGTCCCTGTAACTTGCCTTGAGGGTTAGGATGTTCTGTACTTTGCTGTTGTTTGCTTTATGATACAACATGCAATACAAACAGCCTGAATAAACTTCCAAATGAGGCTGGCTCTATTTTTGGCTGCAGAATGGACTCATTTATGTCACCTGTCTGTATAGGGCACCCTCGTTACAATAGTTAAAGCAACACTAAATAGCTTTTAACACCAAGTTGTTGCTTTAGAAGAGAGTTTCAGTGATTCAACTTTACCATCTTAAGATTGTACAGCACTTTGCCGTCCCCTGCTGACCACAAACCATACTCAACAGTTTTGTCAGACGAGTCGGTTCCAGTAGACTCATTAGGTAGAGCTGTCTACCTGGTTTATGGCTGTTAGCTGTTTATTGTGCCGATAGCTCACATAAAGACTAGCAGGTCACTTCTTCAGTTCACTGGCTGAATAAAAGAACAAGAAGAAAACAGAGAATTTTTTTCTTTGACATCACGGCGGAGTCTGGGAGTTTAAGAGAGTAATGTAGTTTGAGGGAGCCGAAGACGGCTATGAAATCACGAACTGATGGTGACCTGGATTTGTTGTTACTGGTCTTGTAATTACCAACATATTTTGTCCAAGCATGTGGAAGTTTTTATCTTGTGGCTTATTTAGTATCAGTTGGTTTGTGTTAATGTTAGCTTGTTGTTGTTAGCCCTAGCTACAGCAGGCTGTGGCAGGTTTATTTAATTATTATTATAATTTTTTTTACAAATTTGCAATTATGCTTTCAACTAGTAGGAGGGAGAAGCAGGAAACTCTTTAGTGCCGCTTTAACATTGTTTCACAGTGCATGGCAAGTCACATGTGACATCAGTATATCTTAATCAGTCCAAAAGCGTGAATACCCCAATTCATGTTGATCCCAAGCCCTGGTCATTCAGATTGATTATCAATATCAAGACAAAAAAGTCTAAAAAATAAATGAATAAATAAAAACAAGCCTGATAATTAAGAGCATATTTTATTTCTTTCCTCTTTCCGTTTATACATGGCTTAGAAAATGAAACACATTGAATAAATACAAATATAGAAAGCAACAGGGCTTTGCCGTACTCTCGCAGCAACGCATGGCCATCCATGGAGCTCTCTCAGGCTCAGCAAAGGGATTCATACTGCAGAATCCACTTAAAAGCAGACTCAGGTCACACTATGCAATGAAACACTTAAGACGGTGCATGCAGATGCCAAACCGCAACCCAGTTACAGACACAGAGAGAGAATGGCACATTGACACAGATGTTAGGGAACATCTAGAAACACCCAAGAGAAAGAAAAATAAAACATTTATATACATAAATAAAGAGAAATTAGTTCAGACACCATTCTGTACAGAAAAGTCCATCAGATGTTTCTTCCTTAGTTATTCTTCAGTAGTCGGCATCATCTCCGAAGAAGTTCTAATAGAATACAGTACAACAATGGGTGTTCACCAACAGCAGATTGCACCATTTACAATGTTACAAACACAAAATATCATCCAGTGAATGGCATCAACTGTAGTTCCCTTTGAGAGTTGATCCATAGTAAGGCAGGTTACAGTGGAGCTCTTTAACCCTCTCAGGCTCAAAGTAAGTTTTGATAAAAGGACGAACAACTAAGTCCTTCAGGGGTACTTCTGAGTAAAAAAATGCTCATGAAATACATATGTGGAGTAACCAGGTAGGTAGGTTTTAACGTTGCTAATCTGCAACGCCTGCCTCCAGACGGTTAAACCTGGTTGGTGAAGTGTACGTGCAGCCAGACTGCCTTAAACATGTTCTTATTTAAATCAGCTCAACTCCTGTTAAGAGTCCTCTGGTTTGGCAGTTGGAAAGTAGCACAGAACACAGCTTGGATCAAAGAGCTGAGGAAACGCAAGGAGAGTGCTGTCAGTGGTATGTTTTCCACTGACTTTCCTCCATTGGCCGTCAGGGCAGATACAATTTCATCCAGGCATGGCAAAGGTGAAAACCACAGCTGTATGTAAGGGCTAAGGAGGCAGGAGCACAGATCCAGGGAACAGGATCCAGGGTCCAGAAGTTTTCCTTGATGAGGGATGTAACGGCATGGATGAGTGCTATCTGACTTCCAAACAATCCAGGTACTCCTGGGCCAGTTCGTAGCAGAACCGGTACTGCTCCTGTAATAGAAGAATAAATTGGTTCTCAGTACATCCACTTTCACTCAAGCTTTTCTCTGCCTCTAGCTTCGGATTTTACCCAAGGTAAACACTTAGCATTAAAACAAGTGGTTTCAGCATTCGGTGGAACATAATTCTGTGCTTTATCAGAAAAAAGTATGACGTGTGAAACAGAGTGTGATTGTTAGGGAATTAAGCAACACCTCACTCCTGGAATTCATGTGTGCGTCACATTCTACAAAGCAAGAAAGGTCAGAATGACCATTAGTTCACTTTTAGACTCGTCAGATTTGGGCTCATTATCCTACCGCTGCAGGCCATCCATAAACGGTCTGAAACCATAGAAACCAAGGCAGATGTTTACAGACTCTTTTCTCATTATCACCTCTGCTTTTCATCAGGGTCTGAAACTGGTAGGGATGGAAACAGCTGCATGTGTAGCTTAGCTCAGAGACATACACAAACAAACAAATATTGATTTTGTATTTTTGGTCATAGTACAACACACAACTTGGGTGACAACTCTATTTGTCACCAGCCCTAACTGTTATTAATCATTTAATTTACTCACTCTTTCATGTGGGACTAACCCTAACCACACTTATTCTGTGGTATTCAGTTCCCCAAATTGACTGCATGAATCACTGAACCCTCTTACAATCCGTGGTACAGTCCTATGGTGCTTGCCCCAAAAGCTGCTTTCTACAAGACGCACTGTGGCCAGTAATGTTGCCATGGTGTGTCTTTTGGTGAGGCCAGAATATTGTAGCATTCGCACCGCCATGCTTTTGAATGCAGATCATATCATCTTGCAACAGATGGTGATGTCATGAGCACGTGTGGAAATTAAGCCAAACCCTGCTCGGAAACAATAAACACAGGCAGTCGGTTTCACTTTTGAGAACAGCATCAGCTGAGACGGCTAACTGGATTGATACAGAGATGAGCCTGAAGCTCAGATCACAGGACAGCTAGTTTTTAGAAAAGGTCGCCAAAAAACTTTAGGAGCAAACAAGTTACGTCTAGCTGGAAGGATGTCCGTGGTCCATGACAGACTGCCCCCACACCCCTTTATACCACCATTGCATAATCCTTTGTGAATAAAACAAATGAACGCACCACATTACCTCCACAGGCTGACAGCTTATGAGTGACCAAAGATGCCCTGATGCTGCCTTAACTTTGGAGCAAGTTGGCGCCGTTGTTTTGTGAAATGGGCTAAAGAAAGATGATTTCAAGCTGAGATTTTAACTTCTCCAAATTAGATACGGTCTGCTTTTTTCTTATCTAATGTCAAGAGTTGAATAACTAACCCACCAATTAGAAAATGCAAAGAAGATCAGCATATCAACAATCTCGGTTGGAGTTTGGCGTCAATGCTATTACGCTGCTCCCCAACAACCCAAAAGTCAATATTCCAGTATGGAAACAAAGCTCCTCCATATCACACTACTCTTTGGATGGCATGATCTCATCATCCAACGCATTATCACACCCAAAGCGTCAAATAATGACGCGTGTGACCAAGCTTCAAAATATGACGATTAGGGTGCCCCAGCGTGTCGGGAGAGCGCTGGGGCAGAGCGTCGGTATCTGACGCCCGTGGTGAGACGGACATTTGACCAACTTATGAACTACTTAACCATACCCTCACCCCCATTTTAACCTTAACTAGCTTGCACATGCAAAGCTTAATTGAAAATTACTGAGTTAAGGTTAGGATGGGGGTGAGGGGAAGGTTAAATCACTAGAGGTTCGAGGAATAATGTCCGTGTCACCGCGGGCGTTGGATACTGACGTTCCCGGTGACACGTGTCCCTCTCCCAACGCGCTGGGGCTCCCTATCGCCGGGGACACACTGGCCGCCGAAGCGCCGGGAGGCGAAGCGCTCACGAAACTCAGCCACTTTTCGCTGCTCCTCAGTTCAGACCAGACGCTTGTTTCTCCGCTCTGGTCGAGGCGTGCCTCGTAGTTTTTCTTTTAACCACTTGGTGTCCTCCATTTCCTCTCTGCTCTTTTCCTCGACACTCCCCTCCCCCTTGCTGTTTGTGTGTGTTTGTCCGCGTGTGTGTGTGAACCTATGGTGTGAACCAGTTGTTAATAGCTGGCCTACGACTTTCTGCCTCTCTGTCCCGTATGCTCCAGTTGAAAGACACCCAAGACCACACCCCCTTCACATGGTCACACACACACACAAGTTCGCTGTGTGTGTGTGTGTGTGTGTGTGTGTGTGTGTGTGTGTGTGTGTGTGTTCGTGTGGTTTTTATGCAGTCTGTTTACGAACACATTTGACTATCGCGGAAGTGTATTTTGAAATGCTTTATTTTGTTAAATTTACCGGCCTGCCTCTTATGTCTAGGTTTGACTTCCTGCCAGAATTGACGCGGTTCACCCGCGGCTTGCGAAAAAAATTGTGCAGATGCCGAAACGATCGCCGCAAAGCGCGCTTCGCTTGGGTGGCCCATGTGGTCTATAGAATAGGATAACAAGGGCGCCGAATGAAGGCGGTCCCCGTTTTGCGGCGCTTCGGCGGCCGGTGTGTCCCCGACGTAATCTGCATATTTTGACGCTTGGTCACACGCGTCATTATTCAACGCTTTGGGTGTGAGAATGTGTTGCATCATCACACACATGGTCCTGCTGTTTTCACTTATTTTACAAGCACGGTTAGAGTAAGAGTCTTATTTAAGAATACATTTGCCATCTTAAAGCCAGGAGCACTGCAAATACCTTAGAAATGGGGAACTTTTGATTCTCCCCCAAATTATTGCATTGAAACTTTGTTTTGAGTCGAACTTCCTGGCAACTTGTCGTGGAATAGAGGGCTTACTGCAGGGCTCAGTAGTGAACTTGACATATTAAGTTTTGCAAACTGTTTTAATCATTCAGAGCAGCTCTCAACAGCCAGTCTCCAAGTTTGGTGAATTCTGAATCTGTCTCCTGGTCAGATAAGCCGGGATTGTTGACAGACCCTGGGATATGCACACAGTCCTAATGCTCTGATCTCAGCTGAAGCTCTGCCGTGACATAAATGTATTTCATCAGTCTGTTTTCTGTACTCAGTAGCGGTTTTAGGCACGGGCAGACAGGGCAGTTGCCCAGGGGGGCATTTTTTCATGACACAAAAGGGGCGCAGAAGCGCTGAGTAAAAAAGAAAAAAGAAAGAAATCTGCGCCGCACCGAGGTTTTCTATTATCTGTCATATCACAGAGTCTGGATTGGTAACAGCAAGTAGGCGCCCCCTGCAGCTGTAGGCGCTCCTGCTGACTGAGAGGGTTCAGGTGCTCCGTGCGTGTATGAAGAAGAGGAAGGGGAGGGGTGCGGCGGGGGAATTCACCTCTGGGTCTTTCCCAAATGAAATGAGCGGGTAGGGGCTGAATCAACTGTATTAACATGGCTAAAGTCAGGCCTAGTCCACACGTAGCCGTTTTTTTTTTAAAAACGAATATCCGCCCCTCCAAAAACTTGCATCCACACCACCTCGTTTAAAAACAAAACTCTGTCCACACGTACCCGGATAAATACGTTGTTAAGGACATGCCAGACCTGTAGGCGGCAGTACTTCCCCCGTTCTTAACCTCGTCCTTCGTCTGTGGTCTTCCGCAAGGAGCAGTAATTCCACTTGCAAAAACAAACAAGCAGAAAGCGCTTGGACAATTGATAAAGCGAGCGCAGCTCTGAGGGCATCCATGCTGTCGGCTAGTGTAAACACAGGTCGCACACGTGATGTCAGCATTTTTTGTCGTGGAAAGTGACGTTGCGGACCTTAAAACTACGGTTTTGTCTGTCCACACGCAGACACCCAAAACGGAGAAAACGCAGATCTTCACTTTGGCCGGAGTTTTTAAAAAGATCCGTTTTCGTGTGAAAAAACTCAGTTTTCGTGTGGATGACAGGCCAAAACGTAGAAAAATATCTACGTTTTGGCAGATCCCCGGCTGTGTGTAGACAAGGCCTCAGTCACATCTTGATGTTCTTCTATTTAATGCACATTTCATTCATAATATCATAAACACAGGCCTATCATTCTTTCAGATTTTTCTGAATTGTGTGAAATGGCCGAATAAAAAAAGGAAAAACAAAACGATTTTGTGGTCACCCCCCCATCAAGGTCGAATTGTTTAGTCCTGACTAAAGGAAACTTATTGAGTCAAGAGCCAAACAGAAGAGATGAACATAAAAAGGCTAAAACCACCAGGTGCCCGATTCAGGAAAAAAATAGGCGCTCAAAGGGGGCCTCGCCCGGGGAGTAATTCCATGTAGAACTGCCACTGTCTGTACTTAAAACATACAAATTGTTAGCAAAAATAACTTTGCTTCAGATATTTCCTAACCCTAACTAACATTCAGAAATTCCTGTGGGTGTGTTGTCCCCAGCCAGTGTTGGTAAAATGCCACCATCCGCTCAACAACAACAAAAATACTTCACTACATAAACCCACACTTTATTTTCACATGTTTTATGAATTATTATTAGTAATCAAGTTGTTATTTATTAAATAATGAGATTTAGGGCAGTTGCTTAGTCAGCTCAATTATTGTGCCAAAGTGAGATTCCTAAGTGTGAAGCTTGTTTTCAAAAACATCCTTCGTTACATAACTCCAGATCTTTAAATGTGTGGAACACTGAAACAACATTTTTTAATTGTTATTTCTGATTATAATCAGTCATTCAGAGTTTTTCATGCAGGCTGAACATGAAAACAGTCTCCTACACCTAGCATTAGCTTCTGATAGAAAACAGACCTAACCCTGACAGATACGTTGCACTGTCACTGAATATTCTTGGACTCACCCGTCTTGATTCGTGACGGGAAAGGCTGTTGGTTTAGTGTCCAGGCGCCGCATGCATCAAAAAGTCGTAAAAAATTCCTAAATTCGTTCCTATGAATGAAATTTAGACTGTTTGTACGAATGGTCAAAATGCTGATTTATGAAACATGCGGTGGTCTCTTGTACGCATGTTCCTCTACACTGGTCTGATGAAGAATCCCACCTGTGCGTCTCCAGGTGCTCGTCTCTGTTCTCAGTCATTTACATACAGAAAGACCCTCAATTAACCATATTTGGTTGGGTGTTTTAGCACCAACAATGTGACACAGCTGTTTTTCCACTGAAATAATTATTTATTGGGTAAAATATTTTGCGGATGAGAAACATGTGTGGATGACTGAGACATTCGGTGTTGCGGTTCCCCTGTTCTACCTCTAGATGCTGTTCCTACGCATGGTCAGAAGTTTTCTTATATTTGGGAACATTTTCACGCACAGGTACAAAAATGATGAATACCACACAATGTGTAAATTAGTTCCTACGCACGATACACGCACAGATCTGTTCGTAAGTTTGGTTGATAGGCACGTTGAATTGCCTCCGTGTATGAAAATGTGCTACCTTGCCTTACCCTGATACATGAGGCTCCAGGAAACAGCAGAGAATATCTCAACTAGTAGAAGCTAACCGTTAATTATGTTAGCAACTCCACAACATGGCAGAACTCTTCCAGGCTTGTATTATTTGTGGAGATAAAACAACAGTGTTGCAAAGCAAACAGAGTCAATGGTAGAGCTGTGTTGCTGTTAGCCAATCAGAGGTGAGATGTCCAAACAGCAGGAAATATAGCAAGAAATAAGACTCCAAATACTGCCGTCTGAATCTCTCCTTTGATCTAGCTACCTTCTAGATCAGAGTTTCTCAACCCTGGTCCTCAGTACCCCCTTGTCCTGCATGTTTTCCATGTCTGTGCTACAGCACACCTGGTTCACATAGTTGCATTGCCTCCTTAGGATGACATTAAGCACTGCAGAAGCCTGTTAATCAACCATTCATTTAAGACAGGTGTGTGGAAGCAGAGAAACAATGCTGTTGGAAACGGCAACATAGAAAACATGAAGACACAGAAGGCATTCGTTCTCACTAGACCACTGCAAATGTACTGATTAAACAAGTGAACTACACCTTTAAAAATATTCATTTAATATCAGATCTAATCTCAGCTTGTTCAGTAATTCTATACAACACTTAACTAAGGGATACAAATGATGATTAAAAAGTCTCAAAAGGTTTTATGTGTACAACCTAAACAGGAGCCAATCGTTTTATAATGGCTAAATTGATCTAAGCACAATTCCGTATTAGTGAATAATTAACACTACTCGACACAGTGGCCACCCCTATAGATTTGCTAGCCCCCACTGGGTGCACTTGCATAATATTCTTGATGAATAATGATTTAAGTGAGATGAGGGCAAGTTACATTGTCTATTCATTTATGCTGATGACATTTTTTCATTCATCAAAGTGTAACATATTTCAATGAACTGGGTTTATATCAGGAGATCCCACTTGCTTTGTGTTTTATATAGAAAGTAAATTAGTGTGAGTTACTCTGCTGTAGCAAAGATAGATAAAGACGGCTGCTTGCTCACCATTGTCTCCACCATGTTTGGCTTAGAGTTACGCAGAGTTTTGGCAGCGAAAAACGCATCCACCATACTGTGGTGTCGAATCATTTCCAGGATCATGGTGCAGGCACAAAATGTACCGCTTCGACCACCGCCATTCCTGCTCCACCAGAAACACACAAAACCAAACAGATTAGAAGCAGACATGAGGAACTTAAAATATAAATTGTGCTTCTGCTCTGATAGCTTCTGAGAGGGAAAGCTGAGAGGGAAATGTCAGAAACTGACTGAGCACAGATCAAGCATGCTGTCAGGAAAAAGGCCAGTCGGCAGACTTTGAAGATGAATATCTGAGTAAAGTTCTCATTAAAACACAGGAGCTGGGATTTAATCTGAAAATAGCTATCTTACACCCGGCTTGACCCCCAGAGAGCAAAGTACCCTGACATGGCAATATTAAAGATAGATATTACTGTTAATTTCTCTGAGTAGAATGAGAGTTTTTTATAAACGCAGTCATGCTTGAAATCATGGCAGCAAGGTGAATACCGATGCCTGTGAAAGCATCACAAATGGTCTGCTTGGGATCTGAAAATTCAAATGCCCAGCCGTCTGAAAGCTATTTCAAAGGGATTTTTATACAGGAATAAAATTCATGAGAAGCTGATGAATTTATAATGCTGGGGCCTCACGTATGCATCACGGAGCTTTAAAAGCTCGTGTCAGTACTGCTTAACTTAGACATAGTTGTTTTTCTTTTACACACTTGCAAAACTGAAGACATCAAACAGTGAAATACAACATGTAGGTTTCTTAAAGTCAAAATTTGAATTAAGAACAAAGAAAAATACATAAAATTTCACATTTCCCAAAGTATTTTTTTGTTTACATTGATGTTAATTTTCATCCAATCTGTTTTCGTAAAAGGTGTTTAACATAATGGGCGTGTTTTACCCGCAAGCTCCCTTCCCACCGGCAGTGAAGCAAAGTGGCAGAAAAAGAGCTTCACGCGGTTGGTCCTGCGAGGTCACAAAACCACGGGGGAATTTCAACACCACGCGTGACTTTAGCAGTTCACAGGATTACAAGCAAGGAGAAAGATGACAGCATATTCTACTCTGGTTACCTCATTTACGGAGGTTTCACAGGAAAAGACAGACTTTTCTACGTAGCGTGATGAATGGCCTCTAATTTGTGACAAAGGTCACATTTTCCCAGCTGGGTCAAGCTGGGTCGACTGTAACTTTGCCCCACAGATTAAACACACCAGGAGCCGTGATGTCTGCTGAATATCATCCTTATCTGCTGCTGTTCCGTCCCAAGATGAAGGACACTTCAAGTTCACAATAATAATTTTAAATAATAATTTTAATAAACTCTTGACTTTATTACTGTTTATTACAATCATCATAAATAATCTCTTGGTTCAGTATAAATGTATTTTAATTACTGAAATGACTTATTATGCTTTGGGTATAATAATAATTATTGTTGGTGATCGGTGTTCAGCAAACCAGAAAGTCATCTCGCACGTTTAACCAGCCTCATTCAGAAGGGATATCCAGGGAAAAGGGTAAAATCATCTCGTATGTCTTTACTCATGACCAAGCTTTCTGACGCTGAGAGGGCGTGTTCTGAGGGTTTTGTTAAAACTAAAAATCCCACAGCAAAAGTTCAGTTCTTGAACCATACCAGGAGACGAGGGGCAGCCGCCCGAGTCTCTACTAAGCATTCTGTCACGCCGATAGAACTGCTTTAAATAAACGCACCTGTAACCAGCTGACGCAAAACTCCTTCAGAGTTATTGATTTTGAGACGCAAATAGTTTCATCAGTCGTGTGACCCACGGAGACATCTCAGGACCGATTTGGTCACACCAAGGTCCTTCTACCAACCTCGTGCCTGGAGGAAACCATCTCCACCTGACATCTCGGATCCAGAAGAGGGTCTCCTGATACTGGGTGAGGTAGACACTTTTGACAGATTGCGTCTGTATGCTGTTATCTCTAAGAAACAACTCAGTTGGCTGTAAAACAACTTCCCACCCAGAACGCTTCTCTCGCTGAAAGAAACCTTCTGATATTCATTCACGCATCCAAAAACTCGCATTTTCATTTTAGCTTCCATTCAGTCACAGGTTTGCCTTTAAAACAAGTTTGATATCAAATTGTCTGTTCAAAAATTGTCATTTCAAATTGTCATTTTTAAAAGTGTTGGTAATAAATTCTTAACTTTAAAAACTTGACTTTTTTTTAAAAACTTTTTTTTAATTAAACACAGAATGGTGTATATTTTTGGTTATTGAAAAAGCAAAGATTCCTTTAACTTCTGATTAAATAAATAAACTTTGCTATTAAATTTAATTATCTTAAATTAAACATCAATCTTTGGATTAAAAATAGACCAAGCTCATTGGCATATGAACTTCTATCGAATATATAATATCCTAGATATTGATATATGATAGAAGCTTCATTGTTAACTCGTTTGGATCTTTTCTCAGAATCTAACAAAGCTGATAGCAAACAGTGTTGATTCTAGTATGTAGTAAACACGCTACATCTATCTAGTTAAGCAACTGGAAATCTCCACGTGAGTTTTATTCAGAAAGTTTCCCTACATTTTAAACTGCTTTTGTGTCTGACTTCCTGTTTGACCCAATTTGAACTGCTGAGCTTGATGCATTCTGGAAGCAAAGCAAATAAAAAAAAGACTCCAAGCATAAGCAAAGCATTCCTACACTTTTAGGACACTTCCATTATGTTTCTCGGCCGGTGAAAACCCACCCATGCACAATAACTGCGACTAATTGCTTACTTATTTCATGGATGTTCTGCTTCTGGTGGAAAGACCCAGTCAGCCTTGAGAAAACAGGCACCCAACTAAATCAATGCACTGGTGAAGGGGTCTTGTGTGGAGGAAGTGGATTGGCCTGCAGAGTTTTCACTTCAGTCTGCTAAAACACATCTAGGATGAATCAGACCACCTCATCCAAATCAGTGCACAAGCTCACTAAAATGCTTTGGGAACAATAATCCAAAATTCCATAGAACTCACTCCGAAACCTTGTGGAAAACCTTTGCAGAAGAAGGTTGTGCAGGCCAGTCAAGTTCCTCCATAACACATCGCTCATCCATGTTATTATTAGTTTGGTGGTGTGTCCCAATATTTGACCATAAGATTTTTATCTAGTACTTTAGAAAATCAGCTGTTTGTCTCAAGGTGTGATCCATGTCACCCCTTCTTGCCGTTGCCACCAGACATGAAAGCATCGCAAAACAGCCGTGAAACATACAACGCTGCAATTAGCCGGTGTTATAGTAGTGCAGCTGTCTTTCTTCTTGCTTGTTATTGTGTGGACTTCTCAAATCACGAGTAGTGTTGCAATTCTCCCCTGATTTTGTGACGTTGAGGCGGTGTGGATCCCTTTCCCTCGTGTTTCACTTGTGAAAGGCTCCCGGTTGGGAATGCGCTTGCGGGTAGAACACTACTATTATGTTACACGCCACCTTCACGACCATTGGAAGGAAGGGTTCACAGGAGTGAGTGTAAAAGATCTTACAGGCAGTGGACAACAGTGCGGCCTTCTCCACACTCCCTCTGCCAGTTGTGAACTTGAGCCAAAAGGCTGAGGAATGCCTTCTTGGACTCAGGAACATCACGGTACGGTGACCAACGTAGGAACTGGAAGTGGCGCACCACAAGCTGGCCCTCCTGAAGCTGTATGAAGGAAGAAATAAAGTCAAAGGCAGAGTAATCTCTCAGGGTTACAAATTAGATGCACATCCCAAACTCATTCAGAGGACTATCTGGAAATCTACAACGGGTGTTCTTCACTTCCAGTGAACTGTTGCATCTGTACCGTGAAATAAATTCTACTTATTAAATCAAATTGAATCATAAACTACCAAACCACTAGAAAGGCATCTTTGCCACGTGCTTTGATCCTGATTTATTAAGACCCAAAGCCAGCAGAAGCCTCTGAAGTCCTGACCCTGAAAACATCCCTCAATCTTTTCTTATTTTCCTTATTTTTTACACTGCCTGGTCAAAGTCGGACTGCCTTTGTTGTGTCTTAACTTTCTATTTGTAGGGTTCCGATGTGGAATGTGTGAGCAGTCTGAACCGTCAGAGTCAAAACTCATGTCCACGATGCAACTGAGTAATTATTTACTCAGGACTGTTTCTTTCAGCTCTGGTTTGTAGATGTTCCATAAGATCTGAGTAGACATGGAAAATGGACTCACTGATGTGTATTACTTCTCCTAAGCTTATTAAGTGTTGCATCAGTTTTATTCACATTTCTAATGGATTTTGTTGGAAAGGCTTGGGACCAAACCAATCAGAAGCTGAGTGCCTACTTTCAGCTTGTTTCAAAATACCTACCTACCACCCGGTTTTCTGGAGTGAGTGTCTACCTTAGGGATCTGTTTTGGATCCACTTCCTCTTGCAATGGTACATGGCCTGTATTTGTATATCACATTCAAGGGTTCTACAACCGCCCGATGCACTTCACAACACATACAGTCACACACACATTCACAGGTGCTGGTTATGAGCTACAATGTCGCCACTGATGAACTTTTTCATTGATGAAAGCGAGTCTGCTGAACTCTGGCCCCACTGGTCCTCCCGACCACCACCAGCAGACAATGCCAGTTAAGCGTCTTTCCCAAGAACACGACTGCAATACAATGAGCGGGACTCAATCACCCAACCCTCCGGTTATGAGATGGGCACTTAAATCCTCTGCCACTGCCGTCCTGATATCAGACGGGAATATGAAATGACCAGAAAGATAACCGTGGTTCCTGGAATTAGAGGTCCAGACTTTGTAACATGTCTTTAGAAGTAATTTAGTCTGAAGCTAGCGTGGTATAAATACGTATCAGGCTAAAAGGTTGGGGGTTGCATAGTGGCAACACACAATGCAGAACATGCAACACATTTGTGGCATTTTACAATAACCAAGTAAAAAGGACTCGAGGGTACAAAAGAGGGTTCTCTAATCAGGATATGACAAATAGAGCAATTTAGGATATTTCAGTCTAAGTTCTGGGCGCAAAGTAAAGACCTGTGTTTATTCCTTGTTAAGCATTTAGTTTGTGTTGGTTTAAGTTATTTTGCTTCTTTCAAGGATGACTGGAATTATTTCCCTTCCTTTTAAATATTTTTCAGTTTTCACCCGAGGAGTTTCTCAGCTCAAGCTAAGGAGAGCAAAGTTCCTGGTTTTTAAATTGCTGTGAGATTCTCTTTCGTGTGAGCTGAACTAACATGTAAATCATTTACCATCTGTCTCAGTACAGTTTAGCACCTCAGAAAAGTATATTTTACATCTTGAATTAAAAATTAAAAAGTTTTTTTAATGAGAAGCAAACTGTCTTTAAAAAAAATTAAACAATATAAAAAATCCAGTCCCCTTTTGAAAAATCACCTGGTTTGTTTGGGTGTTGGACAGGCAACACTACAACCAATGTGTCGTGGCACATAATAGGAGGCGGTAAGTTCTTAGAATGGGTTCGGTCTGGAACATGTAGAAATCGTCATGAGCAAACGAACAATAACCTGGAGCACTTTAGACAAATGCTTTCAGTCATCAAGTCTTTGAATTCTTTAAAATTTGTTGTCAGCATATTTTTAGGATATTAAATTAAAAAAACATATCATAAAGCCTGCATCCTTTATATTTTTTTTGGCTCAAAGTTTAATGCTTCCTTTGCTGCAGCTTAAACTGCAAACAATTTAATCCAATTTGAACATAGTTAAATTATGATTTAACTGAAATTACCTAAATTTACTTCAACATAAACCAAACGTGTTTGCTTTTTAAAAGGCTTTGAGGTAATGGCAATTACAAAATGAACTAAAACACACAGGTCCACTTTGTTTTCTTTTTGTGTGTGTGGGGATGGGGGTGGGGGTGGGGGTGGGGGGGCTTAAACCAGTTGCAGAATAGCTTGTGGGAAGTGGGAACTTTAATTGGCAAAGAAACTTTTTAATAGCCTTCAAAACCTACATTAAATCTTCTCAGTGGCCTAGTGATAGATTGTCCGCTCTGGAACTGGGAAGATGGGGTTCAAACACCGGTCGGGTCATACCAACGACTTTAAAAATGGGAACCAATGCCTTTCTGCTTAACACTCCGCTTTAAGGGGTTGGATCGAAGGGGTTAAACCATGAAATAGTTCCCGAGCATTCAAATTACATGGGGCTCTATAGGACAGGAGGGGCGGGCTTGGAAAAAAGGAAATACTGATGTATTACCTACATATTAGAGAGGGATACGACTATCACTTCTATTGTTTTCTAAAAGTTTTTATAAAATCATAGCCTAGAAACCTGGAGGCACAGTAGCAGAAACTAAAATCATTTGTTCTGCATGTCAGTCCAGCCACACTGCACTGGAACCTCAGCAGACCTGGCCAGTCTGGTGGCGTGCCAATAACAGCGCTCTATCGGTTTGGTGGGCCAGTCACAGCGCTCTATTGGTTTGGTGGGCCAGTCACAGCGCTCTATTGGTTTGGTGGAACTTCATGCGACGAAGTCTATCGATGTCTTTCTCTGTAGTGTTACTCTCCTCTGGATTCTGCAACAAGGCCATGAGGAAACAGTTGTTGACATGATGTTGAGATCATTGAGGGGCTGGTGAGGGAGTTATGAAAGTAATAATGGGAAGAATTATACTGTAGGGGTGAAGTGAAGGGGGCATGCTCTAGAAAATTCTGGTTAAGGCCTTTAAAATAAGTTATCTGAAGAAAGCTGCTGGAGACTAATGAGGATTTAGGGTCAAAGATGGAAACAGGAAGTGTAGCGACTAGTAGGAGGAGGTGGAGCTAAACTAGCATACATACACAGGAGTAGCATAAATATTGTTTAAAGCATAAAGTTAAAATGAATGATTTATTTCTTTATCTATGTCTGACTGTAACTTTGTATATCTTACCATCAAATGACTACTCTGACAAATATAACTGTGTGTTGTTGATTTAGCTAATTTTTTTAAATGTCAGATTATTGTGCTGTAAATTATTCCAACCGCTGCCAGGAACAAATACAAACTGCAAGCCGGGTCACTGTATGAGTCATTAAACCAGCACCAGGCGTTAAGAATAAATGAAACAAAACAAAAAACCTCCCACAGCACAAAGTACAAATTCCAGCAGCAGTTTCAGCAATTAACACCGTGTGACTGATGGATCAAGGTCAATGAGCATAATCACTCAATTTAAATGTAGTACACTTGGATATTAATGTGTTTTGATTGCAGAAAGAAGAAAATCAATAAAATAAAAATTTTCGTTAAACGCTGACACATCAGAATCAGAATCAGAATCAGCTTTATTGCCAGCGCTCCAGCGACCCAGAGCATAGGAACTTGACTCCGCAGCACAGCCTGACCAAGGTTACACACACACACACATGTAGACAGAACAGATACAGGCAGACCACGAGAGCAGCCATAACGGCGCTCATTTCAATTAGATGAAAAGGGGATTACATGAGGATAAATTGGGGGAGGGAGAAAAAGGCATTCCAGAGTTACTCCCGGCAGGGCGTAGCTTTACTATACAAAAAAAACGCCTCAAACATATAAGCACGAACATCAGCAGTTCACAACATGAGACACCAAAAGGAAGGCGGAGGGGTGGGGCTGGGATCCTGTTTCCCCTGCGAGAACAGCCCTGTATGGTGCTCATCCACTGTAGCCACAGGTGGGAGGGAGATCTTGGGAGGAGCGCAGAGCACATTGACACCTGCAGGTTGATGACCTCGCCAGCGAAGGGTTTTCACAGCATCTGTCTACATTCCTTCGTGGGGGTTTGTTGTTGGCATTCACAAGGCTGCCATGGCGTCAGATTCGGACAACAAGACTGTGTTTGGGTCAGGCAGAGATAATTTTGTTCTCTGCCTTCAAGTCTGTAACTGATCATTCAAGTCCTCCAGTGAAGCCAATTCAGGTTTTAAACATCTCCACCCCTTCCGGTGACCCTCTCCGAGATGACATCCATCTTGCGCACTAATACCGGTAACGCAGCTAGAACGCTGTCCAGCTCACGATTAACTTGAGTTATGTCCCAGTCTGTGAGGTCTCCACACGAACGGTGCTTTCCGTGGGTGCGGGTCGCCCTCCAATCGCTTCCATCTTCCCAGATTTCCAGAAAACCAGATATCCTCCCACTCCAATCAGAAGAAATCCAGTGATCATCAGGCCAAACATCCACACATCTTCGACGTCCTCAATGGACAACTGAAAGAGGCATATGATCCTCCATTCTTTCCAGGAATCGAGCATATACCCCGCCGGGTGTGTCCCTTGCGGGCAAGTGGGAGCCCCCTGCTCCGTTCTCATCGTTGAAAAGATCTTATCGATCGCGTTGAATGACCTGACAAAGTAGTTTTTTAGAAATCCATTTCTAAAAAATGAGGTTTTTCAGAAGAAATGCAGAGAAGCGCTCTGTGGGCAGACAGGACAAAGAGCCTTGGGAAAAAAAGATAAGGGAGCAAAAAGGGAAGCGTCTGTACTCTGCGAGTGCCAGAAGAGATTCATCGTGAGCAAAGTTCAAATCTGCAACATGAGTGATTGTTTTATCGCTGCTCCTATTGGGGTCAACAGAAAACAATTAGAAAATCCAAAAGCTTAAAATGCTTGAGTCAAGTGTTTCTTTCACAACTATTCAAATAATAAATTGTTGCAGTTTTATTTTTTCAAACTTAAAATTACTTTTATACTGTTATCTTTATATGTGTTTTTCTCCTTAGTTAAATATTTACTTTTCGGTTTCTGGTTAAACAAGAAGCCAAGAAAGTTCTGTTCAGCCTGTTCAGAATTTTGTCTTTTTAAGTTAGAGCTACTCAGTTTAATCGCAGTAATCAGTTTGCGCCAAATGTGTCTCCAAATTATGTGTTTTATGCTTTGAGTTGTGGGAAATCAGTGTTTTTTTTTGTGTGTGTGAATTTTTTTTACTCCTGTTAACATAAAACCCTGTAGTATTGTACTTATTTTGTCAAGTTCTGTCTAAGTTCTGTTTTGTATTTGTATTTTTTATTTTATTTAGTCATAAAAGTAATTCATTCATGTATACAACTTCATATCAAACATATAGATACATATACTCCCCACCTCACAAACATGTATATCCATATACTTGATATACATACATACTGTTGGCATATGTGCCTGGATCAAAACAAAATACTCGAAGTCATGGTAAACAAAACGGTGGTCAGTAAAATATGAAGTTTACTCGATTAGCAGTTTTAACGAAATTAGAATCCACATTTATGAGTCAAATTTGATAAGAAATTAATTCATAAATACGTAGTTTTATGAACTCAAACATTTTGTGGCAATTGATTACCCTTAATTTTTTGAGTTCTGGTAACTTATTCAAGTTTCCAGTGTAGTGAGCTATTGGCTACAGTTTTGTGCTACATTAGCATTTAATTTGTGTTTGTCTTTCAGTGATTTTCCCTTGAAACTGTTAGGATATGTATTACAAGTTCATGAAAGACATGGAGCAGTATGACAGTAAAAAATGGGATTAAGGTCTGGAATCCAGCCTCTCTCAAAGCTTGGCTGACGGTGCTGCGTTGTAGTTTTATGCAGCGAACCTTTGATGTGGTGCACATTTTAAATGTCAGACTGCCCCTCTTGTCATGAGAGCTAGACACGAGCAGTCTTTGACCCCCACTTCAAGATAACTACATGATGTTAACTACACTCATTTTGTTTCCCCATCAGCATTATTAGCATATACCGGGCCCCAGAGGAAGCCACTGACTTTTCTAAAAGGTAATTAGCTCGTGGTATTTGCAAAACCCACGCATAGCTGTTCCGAGGAGCTCTTTAGAAACAGACCGTCCTGGTTAGGGAAAAAAGAAAATAATTCAATTCACTGGAAGATTAAACAGACCTTGACTGTAATTCACCTTCCTGTGAGTCTTTCTGAGTCATATGATGGGCAATAGAAGAGCCATAGGGGGTTCAGTTATTGGTTGGTGAGCTGCTGTCATTAGGCCCGACGTTGGCATTCACTTGTCTGCATATCAGTCGTTATGGAGCTGGAAGGGACCAGATTTGGACAGGAGGGTTGAGCTTGAGCCTTCGACAAAAATATTTAAATTCTCTGAGGCCTGATATAAACCAGATTTTAGTTGAGAAACTCCATCTTGAGTTCCCATTTAAAAGAGATGCCAGGCACCAATTTATGTCAATTATGATGATTGTTTATCAAACTAAAATCATGTTTAACTCATTCACTGCCAATGGCGACTAAAGTCGTTATTTGCATTTTTTTTACTGTGTGGGCGTCGAAACGAGCCCCCGCACCGTGAGAAAAAAAACATCTCAGCTCTAAAGCTGATCTTCATCTGCATACGTCACACGTCACGTGATCAGGAAGCAGAACATCCATGTGTTAGGAGATCGTTTTGGACCGCTGCTGTAAAAAAAGTGAGGTGCGAACCGGAAAAGCGTCTGCCAATCACAATTCAACAACGGATTATGAAAGAACGGGAAAAGCTCGAAACGCGCAGATTCTTCCTGATGTAAGAGGTGCGTCTCCGCTTTGTTTTGGTTGTTTTGACGTCGACATCATCCTAGCACGCAACGTTCTGTGACTCTTAAAAAAAACAGTAAAAATGGTGAGAAACGCTGGCAGCTTTACTGATCAGGAAACAGCTGGCAGTGAATGAGTTAATCACCCATGTTAAATATGTACATGCTTATTAAGGATAATAATAAATATTGTTGTAGCATTTAGATGTCCAGGGGCAGATCTAGAAGGGGTTTGGGAGAGGGAGCAGAACCACCCTAACAGCATGGTTGAAACCCCCTGTGACCCCCCAGCTGGTGTCAGATCCTAAGCTTTAATACATTTCAATTTTTTTAAATTGAGATAATTTTGATGTGGAACCAAAGCATGTGAACGGATTTATTTGAAGTTGAAAGGAGATGCAGAGACAAATACTTTCATGTTGTCACTGAGGTTAAAAATTAAAATATCAAAGCCTCTTTTTGAAAAATAGTAACATTTTGAATCTTACTAAAAATAACGTATATAAAACAAAATTAACTAAATCGCTGTTATGCAATATAGTTTGGAATGTTTGCTTACAAATATGCCTCTTTAACAGAGCACACACACACACACACACGCACGCACGCACACACACACACACACACACACACACACACACACACACACACACACACACACACACACACACACACACACACACACACACACACATGTCATCTTAAACACACATAGACACACCCTTTTTAACTCAGTGAATATAATAAAAATGCATTTTTTTCAGGAATTTGGAAATGGAACATAGAGGAAAATGTCACTGGACACCACCCCAAAGACAAGATGGTGATCATACAGAAAATAACAGAGGCATTTTTTATGAAGTGTATCATCAGGCAGTGTGTTTTGCTTTTGTTCTGCGACCTCTACCCGCACCACCACAAGACATTCGCCAGTTTAGGCTTCACCGGTGGAGATGTGAGCCATTCCAAAAGCACAACAAATTAGTTTTTTGTGATTGTTCAGAGGCTAAATGAAACATTTTAAATGTAAATGAAAGGTTTTAGAAATGGAAGTCTTTTTTTACAATAGATGTGTGCATTACTAATATTTAACTTTTGCAACATTGGTTTATATAGATAGGCTACTTGGCGCTTTGCAGACTTGATTTAGTGATTGAACATTGCAAATGTGTGTGTATGCAATATGTCTATTTTTACACTCTAGCTTCTTTTTACTTGCTTTTGCTTATTTAGTTTAAATGATAACCTGTAATCACTTGGTGTTATTACGTCTAAATCCTCTTCTGTTACTGTAAACACAATAAAGTCATAATTGTTATTTTGATATTTGCATAAGATTATGATGTTTGTGTTATGATATTGACTGGACATAAAACTAACTAACTAACTAACTAACTAACTAACTAACTAACTAAAGCATATATAATTAGTAATTCATGAGTTTAAATGTGCACTGACTGAGTTTTCCCACGTTGCAGCGAGCCTACATACCCGGGTGATGTTCTGAATCCTGAAGAGACGGATGATAACATCATCATCAGCAGTCCTGGAGAGAAGCTCCACTGTCATGGGCCCAAACTGCTGCAGCCCCGGCTCAGGCCAGTACTGCAGACAGGGCTGAGATAAGGAGAGAGAAGACAGCAGGTCATTAGCCTACAGAACAAATGATTGTGTCAGCTGCTAGTGATGGTGAAGCCAGTAACAAGACACCTGAGTATTGACAACAGGACAATTAGCCTAAATGACAATGATTACTTACAAATAGCAGTTGTAAATTAAACTTGCAAAAAAAAAAAAGTCAAGAAAATAAAAGAGGAAACACTAATGGCAGGAACAATTCTTCACACCAGCAAGAGCCACTGAGCTTGAATAATGCATGAATCCCAATCATTACCATTAGCATATTATACATTAATGGAGTAAGAGACCTTGGTTGTACCCAGGAGAGTCAAACAGGAAGTTAGCTGAGAGGCTGGGCACACCCAAAGCCAAGGTCTCCCATCATCACTGCCCCCCCCCCCCCCCCCCCCCCCGAGTCAGGGTAGGGGGACACGGGGGAGCCGTGTTGACATGCTGACATGTTCTGTGGTGGCTTTGGGGATGAGCGGACCCCTGGAGTAGGATGTGATAACAGTGACGGACTGACAGATGGGTGTTAACAGGTGACATTGAGCAGGAAGGGAGATAAATATTTATACATCCAGACACGAGACAGGCAGTCCAACTGAGGAGGACAAAGCAACCAAGTGTTTTAGGGTTGGACTAGTAATCTACAGGCAGCGAGACCTGGAGGGGGGATGAGGAGAGGGTGACAGTGGAAGAAGGATAGGCTGCGGCTGACAGGCATGTTGGAAGCAAGAATGAGACATGACGTGGTGACAGGGCGGCGATAGGAAGGTGGCAGAACAAACCTACCCATGAGCCAACATGGAGGGGACAGATAAGAGCGTGTTAATGGGAGACGGCAAAGAAAACGGGCAGCCTGAATACAGAAGCAAAGCCTGATGGGGAGGTAGACGGCTGATGACACACACACACACACACACACACACACACACACACACACACACACACACACACACACACTGCAACTCTCATTTCCTTTGTTTTAACCATTTAACCAGTCGCTCATTAATCCTGAGTTTGGGTCATTATGCTTCCACTGTGGCTGCAGAACCTCTAGCAGATGTACAAACACTCATAGTGTTTTCATAGGCGGTCCAGGTCTATGTGCATCAGCTCAAACGGGTAAAAAAGAACGATGAACATATTTTGTCAGCTCAGCGGGAAAATAGCTCCTCATCTTTGTAAATATCCAGTTTTGAGGGGCAGCTGTATGAATCCTCAGGGATAAGGAATTGCTTTCTGCTGGAGACTTTGGCCCCAAAGCATTCTGGGCTTGAAAGGGAGCCTGACATCTTATTGGTTTACGTTACTTTTTATGTCTGCACCTTTGCTCTGGTCTTCCGCCGACTGCTTACCTTGCAGTGTTTGGAATTGGTCGGAAATTGGCCCAGACACACTCAATTCTCTCTCTGTATCCTCTTTAGATAATAAATACAGGTGCTGGCCAGTAAATTAGAATATCATCAAAAGGTTGAAAATATTTCAGTAATTCCATTCAAAACGTGAAACTTGTACATTATATTCATGCAATGCACACAGACCAATGTATTTCCAATGTTCATTACATTTAAATTAGATATTCATAAGTGACAACTAATGAAAACTCCAAATTTGGTATCTCAAAAAATTAGAATATTCTGAAAAGGCTGAATATAGAAGACACCTGCTGCCACTCTAATCAGCTGATTTACTCAAAACACCTGCAAAGGCCTTTAAAAGGTCCCTCAGTCTTGTTTTGAAGGCACCACAATCATGGGGAAGACTTCTGACTTAACAGCTGTCCAAAAGACAATCATTGACACCTTGCACAAGGAGGGCAAGACACAAAAGGTGATTGCTAAAGAAGCTGGCTGTTCGCAGAGCTCTGTGTCCAAGCACATTAACAGACAGGCGAAGGGACGGAAAAAATGTGGTAGAAAAAAGTGTACAAGCTCTAGGGATAACCGCACCCTGCAGAGAATTGTGACGACAAACCCATTCAAAAATGTGGGGGAGATCCACAAAGAGTGGACTGCAGCTGGAGTCAGCGCTTCAAGAACCACCACGAGGAGACTCATGAAAGACATGGGATTCAGGTGTCGCATTCCGTGTGTCAAGCCACTCTTGAACAAGAAACAGCGCAAGAAGCGTCTCGCCTGGGCCAAGGACAAAAAGGACTGGACTGATGGTGAGTGGTCCAAAGTTATGTTTTCTGATGAAAGCAAGTTCTGCATTTCCTTTGGAAATCAAGGACCCAGAGTCTGGAGGAAGAGCGGAGAAGCACAGAATCCACGTTGCATGAGGTCCAGTGTAAAGTTTCCACCGTCAGTGATGGTGTGGGGTGCCATGTCATCTGCCGGTGTTGGCCCACTCTGTTTCCTGAGGTCCTGGGTCAATGCAGCCGTCTACCAGGAAGTTTTAGAGCACTTCATGCTTCCTGCTGCTGACCAACTTTATGGGGATGCAGACTTCACCTTTCAACAGGACTTGGCACCTGCACACAGTGCCAAAACCACCAGCACCTGGTTCAAGGACCATGGTATCCCTGTCCTTGATTGGCCAGCAAACTCGCCTGACCTTAACCCCATAGAAAATCTATGGGGTATTGTGAAGCGGAGGATGCAATACGCTAGACCCAACAATGCAGAGGAGCTGAAGACGACTATCAGAGCAACCTGGGCTCTCATAACACCTGAGCAGTGCCACAGACTGATCGAGTCCATGCCACGCCGCATTACTGCAGTTATTGAGGCAAAAGGAGCCCCGACTAAGTATTGAGTGCTATACATGCACATTCTTTTCATGTTCATTCTTTTCAGTTGGCCAACATTAGAGAAACAAACATTTTTTCATTGGCCTTTAGAATATTCTAATTTTCTGAGATACCAGATTTGATGTTTTCATTGGTTGTCACCTATAAATATCAAAATTAAATGTAATAAACATCGGAAATACATTGGTCTGTGTGCATTGCATGAATATAATGTACAAGTTTCACGTTTTGAATGGAATTACTGAAATATTTTCAACCTTTTGATGATATTCTAATTTACTGGCCAGCACCTGTACATTTCAGCGAGGGGAAGCTTCTCTGGTGGTAGAAGATAAACCTCAATAGGAAAGGTAAAACTATATTAACAACAACAAGAACAAAATGAAAACATCCAAATGGAAGCTACTTCCTCACAGCTGGCAACTCTGAGATGGAATTTGGCTCTAAAACTAAAAAAAATCAAAAAAAAAAAAATAAATAAAAAAATTTAGTGAGCAGAATTCTATTGTTTTCTTGCATCTCCTCACCCAGGCAGAGTTGGACTGGTTGAGCTGGTTGAGCATAACTACAGACGTGCAGCCATAGTCATACACAAGCCTCCAGAAGTCTGTGGTGGTGCCAGGCAGCGGGTGCGGTGTCACAATGAAGGCTGCAGGTCGGAGGAAGCTGTCGGCAAGCGCCGCGTTGATGTAGTTGCTGCTTTCTCCTTCTGTGGTGATGAGGAAAGCCAGGGAGCGGTCCGGCGGCAGGACGTCCATGCTGCGGTTCTTCTCGCGATTTCGGGGCATCAGAGAGATGCTGCATTCCTCCACGTCCAGATGAGGAGTCACAGAGTTCAGAGTCTGAGGAAGGAGAGAGAGAGAGAGAGGAGTGAGTAGGGAAGATAATCTGAAAAGTATGTTTTTTTTAAAGATGGTGGAGCACTAACCCTAACCAGGGTTAAAATGAAAGATTCAGATGAAAGAATGTAATTTTAATGAAAAAAGATCAAAGAACATCTAAAAAACTGCCTGGATTTCATCAAAAACAATTCCTATTTGTCAAAAACCCACACAGGACATCATGGTTATCACAACCTCGCTCATCGTGAAGAGGCATATTTATGATTCACAGAAAGTAGCAGCGAAAAGATTATCTAACTTCTCTCATGTTGTTGGTGGTGCCTTGCTCCTTCAACGCTAAATGAACAGGACTTGCAACTGGAAAATGGAAACTAGGCAACAATTCTGAGATGCAAGAAGAAACAAAAAACAAACAAACTTGTTTCCATGGCCAGAGGTCACCAACCAATACCACACAGCTGGCCTTTAGTTGACAAATGATAACGTTACATAATCTACGTTTACCAGACTCGATCATCGTTCGGCGGTTGCAGCCTTGGCCTCATGACTGACTTTCTGAAAAGATTTTGAGCTGTAAAAACCAACTGAATCAGAGTTGTGTCAGGATTAACATCAAGTGGGGATTCGGCCAGGGCACAGAACAGAACTCTGACTTTTTATAGGAATTTGTAATCACACGTTTATGAGCTGGTGCCAAAGTGGACCAGTTATTTTAACATTTTCGGAGTGACAAATAACACGCCAAACATCTGACCAGAGTAGACTGCAGCATAACTGCTATGTTATTTATTTAGTGGTAGAAAAAAAAACATGAAAATCCTGTTTTCCTCCGGCTCTCGGAGGGTGCAGACGCTTTTTTCCTCCTCTCCTCAATATCTTATCCTCAAGGCCCTTTGTCTGTCTCTGTGTGCTGGGTGCACGGCTGCTTCTGCATTATTTCTGGAAACTGGAAACTGAAATCACTAAAATGGACCTCGTCAGTTGGTCACTCAACGTGATTGATAACATTTTGTCAACGATGAGAACGGGAGAAGGGGCTCCTGGATGCCCCTCTGGGACAGACCCAGTTGGACTTATCATAGACTCCTGGAAACAGTGGAACTTGATTTGTTTCTCTCAGCTGTCTGTGGAGGACTCTGAAGATGTGTGGATATTCGTGGTGTTGGTGTGAGGTTTCCTGATCATTGGCCTCGGAGGCTTCCTGGCTTATCGGAAAATTAATGAGCTGTCGAGGAATATTGGCCTGCTCCGGGAGTGCAGAGATGGTTTGCAACGTGCAGCAATAGCTGATGTACATTTTATATAAAAGTTATCAATAATTTCTATTCATTTGCTGTGGATAGTTTATTTTACGGACATCGATGAGGGCCACTGAACATTAAAAAAAAACAATAATTCTGAATTTAATCTCAGAATTCTGAGATTAAATTCAGAATTATAAAAAATATGTTGAAATTATTTACCCTAATCTTCTTCCATACATCTAGGTGCACTCTCCAGTTAACCTAACATACCTGCAAAACAAAGCAACAACACTAGCCTAGTGAACTAGACCAAATTCTTGCTTTGCAAAGTTTTAGGCATGCTCCACTGGAACCTCCGCAGCTCCTACCAGGACTCTGGCTAGCCAATCACAGCTCTCTAGAGGGGTTTCAAACACATAAAGAGCTGTGATTGGTCCATAATGGTGGGCCAATCATAGTGCTCTATCTGCTTAGTGAACAAATCACAGAGCTTTATCCGCTTTGTGGGCCAATCAGGGCACTCTATATGCCTGGTGGGTGGGATGATGCAACAGAGTGAAACAAGAGTATGTCACATTCATTGTCCAGTAGACAACGGTAGAACCCGCCCCACAACCGAGAGCCGTCAATGGAGCGTGGCCAGACTAAATAATACATTTATTTAGTCTGGCTTGCCAGGCTAGAACAACACTACAGACTGGCCATGATTTACAAGCATAAGGAGGCTTGGTGTATCCATAATAATCACAGAAACATTTGCATATTTTCTAGATTTACGGCCTTTATTCTGATGGAACAACCAGATTTTGCGATAACAAGACCTGAGTTTCCCAGTTCCAAATCTTAAAAATTGAAAATATTGTTTGTCTTTTAGTATCACAAATACCGTATTGTCTTCCTTAGATTACTATGTATGTCGTATCCCCAGATTCTGGGGAAGCAGTAGCTCAGGAGGTAGAGCGGGTTGCCTCATGATCGGAGGGTCATGGGTTCGACTCCAGCTCCCGCCAGTGGTATTCTGCTGTTGTGTCGTTGGGCAAGACACTTCACCCAACTTGCCTGTATTGGTGGTGGTCAGAGGGGCCGGCAGCGCCAAATGGCAGCCTCGCCTCTGTCCACCCCAGAGCGGCTGTGGCTACAAAGTAGCTTCCCAACACTGGCAGTGTGTGAATGTGAGTGCAGGAAAGTGTATTTGAGTGTCCTAAAAAGCGCTGTATAAGTTTGACGTATTATTCTTGTACATAACTTATTCCATAGATTTATTTGCAGTTAAACAAATTTACCAACAAAGATCAACAAAGAAATCTGAAAAATTAATTGACGAAAAAATGTGCAGCTTGACCCGTTATCATTTGTTTACCTGAAACTCTTCTCTGAGCTGTGAGGTGTTGCTCTGAGAGTCGACTTTCAACATTTCCTTATATGTGAGGACGAACTCAGAAACTGGGATGGCCGTTTCGCCGCACAGACAAGCCTCCAGGATGGCGTCGTGGATGAACACGTACTGCTCCTGAGGGACAGACATCAGGGCGAGAAAACATCCACACATTTACCAAGCCACACATAATCCCCTGTCCACTTCTCCTAACTGTTAATTGCCCACTTGTGTGAAACATTGTTGGATTTAATTACTACTGCTGAATGTTGACTAATAGTTGTCAGTTGTCAAAAAGTCTTCAGACTGCTAGGCCCACTCTAAAGCATTGTTTCCTACCAACATTATGTCCGTGAAATGAGAAAAAAGCAGAACCACGTATCAGAAGAACCACATGCTGCCCACACGCCATATTTAAATAACATCAAGAGTTGGGCAATTGACGAGAAAACTGGGAAATTCGTTTTGACGTGGAACCAAACAAAAGATCACAGAGGCGGTAATACATTTAAATTAGTGGCAAAACACAGTTGCTCTTCCAACTTATTTATCATTTTAATGTGTTTGGTAATTGAGGAAACATGTAAGCAGCAGCTGCAGTGGAAAGGTGGAAAAATGGTGTTGAAGGGAAGATAAGTACTGCTGTTTGGGTTTTTATAGAAATCTATTGGAGCCAAAACCTTTGCAAACATTCATCAGTTTTCTTTATCACAGCACACCACTACTTTATTTATTTGGTAATTCATAATGGGCAAAGTTAAAATAGAACAGATCCAATTCAGTTTATTTATATAGCGCCAATTCACAACAGGAGGAGTCTCAAGGCAAAGCAAACATTCCAATTGAACCCATTGATCAGGGCCCTGACTTCAGTTCATTAGTGTTAAGTTCAGTGATGAAATAAATTGACAAATATTGACATTTTTGTCAACGAATAAAAGACGACAACAAGAATTGACCGTAACAAAAATCCAATCAGAAAACGGAAAAGAGGGAGACCAAACCGAGCAACACATCTGGTTATCCTTCTCATGTTATCAGCGTGCTCTAGCTGTGTTTGTGTGAGGAAAACTACATTTAAGTGACCAAGAACAATGTTCAGGCAACCGACACACTAATCAATACATCTGAAACAACGCTTACTCTTAGTTAAACTCCTTACGTTATTAGATTATTACATTTTAATGTGTTGATGGTATGATGTAATTTCATGTCATGTTTACATATAGTACTGCACATAATATGGGCTTGTTTGAATTTGTGTCTCCCAATATAAACAAGTAAACTGTCAGCGTGCACTTTGGTAGTTTCCATTAATTATTGCTATTAAAACAGTAATAAATACAGTGTTTTATTGATCTAAGTATGAAATGTTAATTCTTCATATTTCTTTACAGTTTCAAGTAGGTGTAGTTCTCATTTCCTTTACAGAAGTTGAAAATGATCGCATCAGAAGAAAAAAAACATTTTAGTCAAATAAAATAAGACTAAAACTAAATATAAACCCTCATCTAAATGAACACTGGTTCATTATGCCAGCTAGTTAAAGGTTTTCTATTTTAAGGAAACCCAGCAGGTTGCATCGAGTCACTGACTTGTTGTCAGGGACTCTACAGCAATCCTCATACTAAGCAAGCATGTAGCCACAGTGAAGAGGAAAAGTCCCCTTTAACAGGAAGACACCTCCAACAGAACCTGGCTCGGTATGAGCAAGCATCAACTATGACTCACTGAAGGTGAGAAGACAAGTATAAATAGCCATAGCAGCTTCTAAATCGTGTCATGTAGATCTATAAAACAATGTTGTTTTATGACACTTCAGTCTTGTCTCCATTCATCTTGGTAGCTCATCATATGTTTTGGACATAGCAGCTACTTCTCCAAACACAGGCCCTTGAAGAAGCAAGCTACAATCAGTAAAGTGGTAATAGTTTACACATTTTAAACAAAAACACACCTCCAAACTGCTGAAATATATGTTCAAGTGTTTTCTTTTTGATTCAGTTCTGCATCTGGGCATTAGGAGAATTACGCTCAAGTGGCTGAACTCTTCTTAAAAGACAATTCTTCAGCTGGTTTATATGCTGAAGATCAAACTTTTGAGCGCTGCCTCTCTGAGCATGTTTCTGCCTTTCCACTCACTTCAGTCTGGATCATGTTGATACGTCGCGAGCAGAGGGTCTTTACACAGTTGTAGATGTCCACCACTCCTTCACACTCGGCCATATCCAGCATGACATCCAACACGATGTAGCAGCCAGTCCTGCCTGCCCCCATGCTGTTAGAGGAGAGAGGATGCAGGGTGAAAAATCTGAACTCACATGTGAACTGAAAAAAAAAACTACAATAAAACTCCTGTGAGTAAATTCAAATAAAAATAGAGAGCCTAAGTCACGCTCATCTACTTCCAGACCACGGGTCTCCGGAAGAATGACAACGGGGCTGAAAACGCTATTTTCTAATTCTGCTTGTTTTCGCAACCCTACGTGGACAAGCAGGTTCAGAAAATGGAAGGATGGATGGAAGGATGGATGGATGGATGGAAGGATGGATGGATGGATGGATGGATGGATGGCTTTAAAGAACAAACTCTGGACAGTGTGAGGTGAGTTTGTCTCACTACAGGACTAAAAACACACACGGAGCATCAGCAGTCAGATGCAGCCGTTCACCAACACTCGTGTGTGTGTGTGTGTGTGTGTGTGTGTGTGTGTGTGTGTGTGTGTGTGTGTGTGTGTGTGTGTGTGTGTGTGTGTGTGTGTCAGAAGGCTGAACAATAACCTGTAGAATAATTCATCATGCTAGAGCAGCTTCTCTGTGGTGGACCACACCAGCTTCTGCCACAATAATAATAATAATAATAATAATAATAATAATAATAATAATAATAATAATAATAATAATTATTATTATTATTATTATTATTATAATAATAATAATAACAATAATAATAATAAATAACACACAAAGCTGTGAACATTTTAATTTCCTTTCTGAACTATTTCTGTTGAGATTTTTAATGTTTAAAATCTGTTAGCTTGTTACTGACAGCAGCCACGTTTAAGTTTCACTTCCTGTTGTTACTGAATGCTGCTGCAGCGTGGAGGTGTAGTTCTCAGTCATCCTGGACGTGATCATCCTGAGAGTTTTAGCTGAAAGCAGCTGGACGTTTCTGGATATGTTGGAGACATTTAGCCTCTCATCCCAGAGGCTGCTTCCACACTTTGGTTGTGGTCAGAAACAAACACACTGGTTGTGCTGCAAGTCTTTTTCTTTTTTCCTCCAAAACATGTTTTTGTCTAAATGATGGTGATGTTGTTGTTCATAGAGTTAAAATTCATGTTGAAGTTAAGATTATTTCATCAAGTAGGACCTGTGGTTAGCTGGCTCATATAAACATGTCATGTCTTTAAATAATCGGAATCGGGAATCGATAGGAACCGGAATCGAAACAAGGAATTGGAATCGTTCAAAATCAAACGATGCCCAACCCTAGGCGGGACTAGGCAGCTCAAAAATAACCATTCAGAAAAAAGACAGAAATGCAAACGCAACGCTGTAGTTTTTTAGCTGTAGTCAAAAATGGCGTCTGGCAATGGCGCAAGCATTTAAAATTTTTTTAGAAGAAAGGCTTTCAGCTCTTCTACTTGCTGTGGTTTTAAAGACATTCAAGTCATTTAGAACAGAAAAGGAAAGGAAAGAGCTGCGGCGAACTCCGCCACTGTCTTCGTTGTTTATGAGAAACAGAGCACCGCTGTGTGTAACGTCCGCGACGCTGAAGTTTTTTTGCTGTAGTCAAAAATGGCGTCTGGCGACAGCGCACCATATCTTTCTTTAGAAGAAAGGCTTTTAGCGCTTCTACTTGTTGTTTTGGACATGTCCAAGTCATTTAGAACAGAGGAAAGAGCCGCAGCGAGCTACGCTTCAGTCACCATGTTTATGGCAAACTCGGCGTTGTGGTGTGTGACGTACGCTTCTCAGCGCTCACTGGCTCGGTTACAATTCTCAGGGGGTGGGGTCATTTGAACAGGAGAGTTCCCTGACCTTTTCTCTGTGCAGACAAACAGAGGAGGAGTCTGGCAGGCCAGTCTAGGAAAGAACCACCGTAAATCTGAGAGATGATGTGATGACGTCACATATACGACGTGCCGATTTCTGGTGTGTAGCCATGCTAATTACAAACTTTTATAAGCTGATGAATCTCAAAGTGCGTGACTGGCATGGTCGAAACACCCATCATTACTTAGATTAGAAAATAACGTTTTAGCCTCGTTGAGTTGCATTCAATTTTTCGTTCTTCTGGGGACCCGTGAGCCGACTGCAAAGCGAGGAGACTTAGGCTCCCTATAATGTCATTCACAGTAAGTTGATAAGTAGATAAATATTACAGCAATATTTCTCCAGCACTAGAGGATGCGTAGCCATTTGTCGTCTTGCTGTTATAGTTCTGAACGACTCACTAAAGGAAGTAAAACACCATGATTGGCTCATTATTCACTTCAGACATATCGAGTTGTTGGTAATTTTAAAAACTGCTTGAGAGAATTGCTTTAGAGTTGATTATTTGCTTCTAATTCACTGTTAGCATTGTTAGCTCAACGTTAGCCTCTAGGCTGCTTCACATGATACTGGAATAAAACAAAAGTATGCCATGGCCTCTTTGGGGTACCTTAAATAGCTTCAGGGTCGCTGGCTTTGGTCCTTTAAGCAACTGGTGCTGTTGGCCAGCTGGAGTCGAATTAAAAATGCTAGCGCTGCAGTGTTAGCTTGGCTCAGACTTGGCAAACTTGTGGGCTCACAGATTGTAAATAGTTGCTCTGACCCTCTTTAGTGTTTTGAAAAGAGAAAAACTGACAACCTCCCGTGCTGGCTAAGAATAAATCTGTTTCAATGTAACCTTCCTTTCAATATGATTGAGGCTGTTTTGTTTCGCTGGAGATTTTGTACATATTGCTCCTTTAATAGAAGCCTGCCATAAAAATACACAAACATATTTGAGATATGAATATCAATTAAATAATTTTGATGAAATTCAACAATTAGTTAAAACATGTAGATGCTAACTTAAAATTCATTTTTACCTTTATTAATCAGTCAGATGAGCTGAATATAAATGGAGGCACTGTTGCTATAAAAGCAGAGAAGAGCTGCTATGAAAGGCTGGAGGTGCAAGAAGAAAGTCATTGTAGGAATATTAAAAATTATTGTTTTCAGCAGTGTCCACACTTGGAAATAGAACCATCCGGGGGGAAGTGAAGCATTAGGACACTGATGTGAGTTCATGTTCCAGTGGTGAGTCAAAACGGCAAGATTTGACAAATAACAACTTCTTTGTTTTGTGATCAACTGGAGCAAAAATCAGAACGCTAACTTTACGACTGGCACAGCTCTTGTTTTAAGTAGAAAAATCCTTCTTCACCTGGGACCAGGCTCTGCTAATGTTGATGCAGGAGGACCAAGCTGTTCAATCAATGAAATTCACAGAGTGGCTCCGACCCCAAAGAGCAGCAATCTGCCATCGTTCTCCTTGTTGTGGACTAAATGAGCTGCAGCACAGGTGTGAAAGGGTTGCTAACTCCCTGGTTATGTTCAACATCTTTCAGCTAATGTGCTACAGATTACACAATTACGGAGAAACCAGTTACTCATCGGGGCCATTCCTGCATCCTGTACTGGCCTTTTTTCTTCATAAAGGCCCTTTTCCTCGCTGAAGGTCAAAGCTAGAATCTCACAAACCGTCCAAAGACTGTTTATTCTTTTCAGACTGACAGAAAAGTCATTGATTTGACAAGCATGACTGCCACGTTACATCGTTAGCACCACACGGAGCAGCATGAGGATTTCATTCCACTGACAGGTCATGGTTCCCTTTAATATGTGTTATTAGGATTGTCAGGCTGCAACGTGCTCCATGTTAGAATGGCAAACAGGTAAAGATGAGGAGAGAAAATGGAGCATCTTGTACTACAGAACAGTACAACTGCAGGATTGCTATGTCACACTGTTTTTACAGACTTAATAGACTGTCAGAGGTAAAATGTGACAGACTGATTTGCATGAATAGAGGAGATTGCTCATAGAGAGGATTTATGAAGAGACTGGCTCCTGAACATCTCACCGCCGGGAGTAGGATTTTATAGTACTGGGGCTTTATGACTTACTCACATACACACCCTGTAGTTTGTTCACGCTCAACAAGAAGAATGATTAAGATTCTTCCTTTAAAATGATCGCAGTCGGACCAGAAAGGATTCGAAGCTTTGATATTTTCCTCTTAAATAACAAACAAAATACTACAAATGATTTCTGTGAGCTAAAAGCTTTGTTTGAAGGTGCTCATTAGCACAGAGAATAAAAAGTCCTTCACTAAACTTTGATTACCTAAAAGTCCACAGCCATCACTTCCTTGTGACGTTACAGCCATGATTCAACTGTAGACGTTCAGGCAAGGGGCGGGTAAAGTGTCCAGAGACACACTGGCTCCACCCTCTCAGCTGTTTCCATACAAGTCAGCCTTTCAGGAATTTGCTACGATGTCAGCAGATTACAGCTGCTTCAGCAATACGTGATGTCACTGATCAGCACCACAGCGTCCACGGACCTTAACACTATTAAAGCTTTCACACGGTCGAAGTAGGTTGCAATCTAATCCAGTCTTCTCCACTGGGAGAGCAGCTGTGTGACATAAGTTGCGTTCAATGGCCAGAAGAATCACCAGTTGTTGTGGTGCTCACGGAGACCAGAAAGCAGAGTGAATTATGAAAGAAGGTTTCTGCTGCATTTATTGGCATCGGGAGTGTAGAAACAGCAAATGTAAAGCTAAGAAGTAGCTTCATTTATTTTCCTTCTGTTCTGCTTCACCAGAAACTCTTCCAGTTTTACAAATGCGGTCGTGTGGCGACATCTGCCAGTGTCATTTCCTCCTGAGTTACAGCCAGTCAACATTAGTTAATCACAAGGCTCACCCAACAATTCTATTGGACCATTTCAGAGTACCTACCCCAGCTCAGGTAGACTGTTTGTTCCTGAAATGGAGCAGAAAACGGTTCTTTAGGGCCGGCGGGGTGAACTGGAGTCACAATCATTCTGGGATATTATCCTGAAGTTCCAATATTTGAAACAGGCTGATAACTGCATTCTAAATACACACAATTTCAAAGCATCTTGCTGGTCTCTGCTGAGATTCGTGGTTCTCACTTGAGGACTGTACCATTCACTCTGTTTACCTTTGAACTCTGAATGAATTTGACCAGTTTGAATGTGCTGTAGAGTCCAGTCACGTTGCCAGCTTCACTGTGAGTACACATCTGAGTACTTCTAGCTTATTTTGTAAACATCGTAATAATACTGATAACAATGTTTTTGTACCATTCCATTCCTAGTACACATCAAGCATTTCGTCTGAACACAATGTTGAAGGTTGGTTTACCTGCAGTGGACCACCACAGGCCCGGCATCAGGCGGCGTGGAGGCCTTGACTCGGCGCAGAAAAGCAAGCAGCCCAGTGGCGTGGTACGGCACGCCATGCTCTGGCCAGGAAGTGAAGTGGAACTGGCACACCTCGTGTTTAGCGGGGTATCCTCTCTGAAAACCAAATCAGGCAGACTCAGTCTAATATATTTCAGGTGTTCAGAAAGCAATTCAAACAGAGCGCTGGACTCGGATACGGAGGACAAGCTCAGAGAGTTCAAAATAATGAGGGCATGACTCACCCGCTCCATGGCAAAAGTGCGCACGGTGTACTCTGCCAGGGTGTCTGTCTTCAGTAGTGTTATCTTAATGTCACCGTATAACTCGGTGTCGTCAGGCCAGTACTTACAGCACTTCATCTGCACCAAGAACAAGGTTCACGAATGTTTACATGCATGCATTAGGAGTGGACTTCTCTCAGAATTATGTAAAAAGATTTAAAACCAAGTTCACAAAATAAAAGTTGTTTCTATTAGTCTTTAACCTTTGCTGCTGAAGCCTTATCTCCACCAGCAGAAAGCTTTGTGTATTTGAAACCCAAGCTGTGTCCAGATCCTTGTGAGGACTCGTCCTACCCATCCTATATAACATATAAGCTAATAAAATGATGATGATAGAAGAATGTTTATCAGGAATACCTCTAGATAATCTAACTGTGTTCTCAACCAAGTACTCGTTTAAACGTTACGGATACAACTGGAAGTATTAATGGTTACACATTATCTTGTCAGAAATCTGCAGACGCAGTCAGGTGTTTACTCATCATTGTAAACTGTGACGCTGATATTCCCGTAGATCCAGTTCAGTAGAAAAAGGGCAAACATCCCCAGGTTATAATGAAATCTGTAATAAGTGAAGGTAAAGCTCTGGCTGCAACTGTACAATTACACACTTCATACAAACATTTACATGAACACAGAAGCCAAGCTAAACACCACAAGAGTCTTTAGGGAGTGATGCTGAGACGCTACAGGGACTTCCTGCTCTCTAATCGGGTCAAAAACTGCAGCTAATAATAAAGCAGGGCTCTTTATTTAGATGCACTTGAAAAGAGCTCTGCTTCACTGCTGGGCGTGCACAGCCACAGACCATAAACACTAAGTAAACAGCAGCATGATGTAATTATACTTGGAGAGCAATATCAACAACATGGCTGTTTTACTTGTTTCAGGCCTGAAATCTAAAACTCTAATGAAAAACAGTCTTGTTTATGAGACTTAGTGATTCATTTGCTACTGTTACTTTTTAGTGGAACTGCAAGGGTGTCATGAGGCCCCGAGCAAAAATACCCGCTGTCCAGCTAGGATGGCGGGGTTGTTCCGACGAGTGTGTGCAGCAAATGGTGCTTTTAGCATTTTCACTGTCTCACCATTGCCCTGCTTCAAAGTTTATCAGCCCTCCGGGGCCCCCCTGTGGCCCGCAGGCCCCAAGCAACTGTCTGCCCAGCCTGTCGGCATGCAGCACGTCTGTTATGAACCCCATGCTAAAGTAGATGTGGGGTCATAAAACAATACACCAGCAATATGTAAAGAAAACTGGCCTGAACCACCTGT